TTTATTTTATTTTTTTGCTGACGTTGTCCACTAGATATAAGTTCTACAAGGCTAGGGATGACATCTAATTTCCCTTCTTAACCCTAGGATATCTGATAACTACAACGTCTCAACAAATACTTGATAAAGCAATGAAATTCATAGAAAGGAGACCCTGAGGAAGAGAGTGTGTACCCCCGACCACCTGTGAGGAGGGGTTGGGACCGAAGGTGAAGAGAAGGAGTAAGGGGAAGCTTGTGCTTTTTACTTCACATCTCTATGTATCTATATCTATCTATGTATCTATCTATCTATCTATATAGATATACTAAAGAGTACATCCCTTTGTGATTTCAACCTCCAAAATAGATATTAAAACAATTAATTCTTATTTGCCCGTTAAAGTAACAAAACTCTTTTTGTTTGAAAACAAATGCTTACAGGCTCAGCTGGCGGCAATTTCAGTTGTTGAAAAAACCCTTTGGAACAGTTACTGGCAGCACACATACTGTGTGATCATCCATCCCACATCTGGGAAGGCTCCGAAGGAAATGAGCCGATAGGTGGGGAAAATTCCAGGCACAAAGATATTCATTTCATCAGGGTACATACCAGTCAAATAGTGGGTTAACCTGACTGGCTAAGCGGCAGGGGATTGGTTACATATATGAGGATGCAAGTACTGAAAGTGAAACTTATGTCATCATATTAAGTTGGGGGTGGTGGGAAGCTGGCTAGGGTACAGGGTAGAATCTATAATGACAACTATGTAAACTCTGGTAAAAAGAGTTGGAAAAAATGCATAAAATGAAACTAGTTGCTATGTTAAGATGGTGAGATTAAAGGTACTTTTTCATTCTTCTTGAAGTTCACAGTAATGTTACACAGAATTATGATTCTCTTGGTGGTGGTGGTTATGTGCCGTGGAGTCGGTTCCGACTCATAGCAACCCTGCACAGGGTCTCTGAGGCTGTAAATCTTTACTGGAGCAGAAAGCCTCATCTTTCTCTCATGGAACAACTGGTAGTTTTGAACTGCTGACCTTGAGGTTAGTAACTTGATTAATTTTGTAACACTTTTTTAGTTTTTTTCTTTTTTTAAAATAAATGTAACAGAAAGAGCCAACCCACGAAGAGCTTCTACATAACTACGGGAACGTGGTGGGGAGATCTCCCATTCTCTGAGCTCAATGGACGCTCATATGTATGCCTTGAGGTGGATTTGGCAGGAATGCCATCCCTGTTTTCCAATAGAAGAGATGAGGTGCAGTGG